AATTTTTTAGAATTCATGATATATATTATATTCATTTATTTAAAAAGAGAGAGAGAGAGAGAGAGAAGAAAATCATGTTTTAAATTTTCATTATGAAATAAAAAAAATAAAGGAAATGGATTATATTTATCGGTAAATAAAATTTTATAAAAAACTTAATTGGATGTGAATTTTATAAGAAATGATAATTGTCGATGTCGGCCATCGCAAGGAGGGCCGGACAAAGAGGCACTACTTAGCTAATTAAGGAGAATTAAGAAACCCTAAATATACTAGTCTACATAAATATCCGAATAAAGGGTCGGTTACGTATGAGAAAGATATGACATTACCACCATCTCGTCCTACTTAAGGTGGGCTGTATTATTTGCATGTGAGTATATAAATATATATTTTTTATCATATTATGCTTCTATGTTTATTTAAATGAGTTTATTTTGTAAAAATATAAAGCATGATGGTTCGGATGTAAAACAAAATACTTTAGGAGTTCGAGCTGATATAAGGCCAATGCTCCCTACCCAATGAGTTTCTTCCTCATATTTTTCATAATTTTTTTTAAAGTTAAAAAAATGATTTTCTCTTTCTTATGTGTTTATTCTTAAATAAAAACCTAATAATAATCTAAATAAAAAAATTAATAAATTTTCTAAAAAAATTTTAATAATTTTTTTATAAGATTGCATGAAGAAATAAAAACAGTTAATGTAAAAAATAAACTTGTATAAAAATTAACAAATAAATCTTTTTTATTCTTGTTTAATGCTAGTAAGAAGATTACCTTCTTGAAAATATGTAAATCTAATTTATATATACTTATTTACAAAATAAGCAATAATATGAGTTTAAAAAGCTGTATTTGAATTATTAGACAATTCTTTTTAAAACACTATTTTTATTATTTTATTTGAAATAAATGAATTTTAAAATAATAAATTAAATCAATAGCAAATTGTTGGTATTATGTGTGTAGATATAAAGTTAATTTTCAATAAATTCAATAATCATAATTTTTTTATATACATCATGATCATACTCGGTGGATTAGAGTGTACAACATAGATAAAATAAAAAAATAAAAAAATAAAAAACTTAAGTTGTAAGGATTATATTGGAGTTAATAGATTGCTCTAAAAATAACTACAAAATTGATTCTGAAAATTTTTTATTATATAAACAATTAGCAAATAAAACACTTGAATTATATTTTTAATTGATTATTTATTTTTTAAAAAACTTATTCAAATATCCATACGTAGAGAAAAATAAATCATATTTATTAAAAAATAAAATTACATTAAAAAGAAGAATAAAAATTAATTTGATGAGAATTTTTATTAGAAACGATAAATTGAAGAGATCAATTTTAAATAATAAGAGTAATATATATCGATATATATATTCATGATAAAATCTGAAAAACATATTGTTTATATTTTATAATCCTCGACCAGTATGAAAAACTAAAAAAAAAAAAAAACTGATTTTTCATAACTTTTTTAATCAATTAAATAATAAAAAAAATTATCCAAGACAAAAGGCGAGCATGCACCCTTGGTCCATTAGGGATAAAAAAAAAATCTTCTAAAAACATTAAGAACCAAATAGAGCATAATGCCAAATGCTCGTATGAATACCAAAAAATCACGAAAATATTAAATGAACAATTCACATGCATATAAGTGAATGATGCATTGAATGTAGATGGATAATGGCGTAATTAGCACTTTCTCTAAATTTTTTAGTGTTTTGTATAAAGATACTATGTAAACATATATTTTTTTCTTCACACGTAATCTCTTTAATCATTTTAATTTGGATTCTCATGAGTGAAAATCAAAAGGTTATCATATATGGTCCAACTTTATTTGGGATTCTTGAGCAAAGTGATGTGTCTTAATTTTTCTTGATGAATCTTTGATAGGTTAAATTATAGTATTATATCTAACTACGTAAGTGTTACATGTGAGATAAAGTAGTTGAGTTAAATGTAATTTTTTTGTGGTAATTATTATACAAAACATTAAATGGAAAGTAGTTATAGTTATAAAGGCTGATTTTCGTCCGATTTCTTTTTCGCTTTTTGACTTTACTAGTGGCTCGATCTCATATGTTAATCAAGGAAGGAGTGGTACATTGCATTGAAATGAACTTTCAAGTTGAACTTTTAAGCGTTGGATGATGACTCCAAAAAGAAAAAAGAATATATTTATTGAATTTTCATTTAAATATCTGAATTTCAATTTTACATTTCTCAATTTTTATTTTATTCTAGTGTCGAAATATGTTAAAAAATAATAATTATGTAACTGTTTTTTTGTTCCATATGGACATAACGGCTCTAACATTTTTTGAGAAAAATACATATTTTGTGCTTGATCTTTATTAAATTTCTCTTTGAGTATCTTAACTCAAATATTCCATCTATTTTAGTTGTTTAACTTTTTTTCCTTGATGTGATAATCATCACAGTAGAACTTAGAAATGCGATGGCTTGGCTGCTATTTTGTGTCACTTGAAAAAAAAAGTGGATTCAAATTTTTTTTAAAAAAACTGATTTTTCATAATTTTTGCATCCAATTCAATAATAAAAATAAATTATTGAAAACAAAAGGCGAGCATGCATGCTTAGTACATTAGGGATAAAAAAATACCTTCTAGAAACATCAGGAACCAAAATAAAGCATAATGTCAAATGCCCATACGAATACAAAAAAATCGGAAAAATATTAAATGAACAGTTCACATGAATGAATATATTGAATGTAGATGGATAATGGCATAAATAGTATTTTCTTTAAATTTTTGAGTGTTTAGTATAACGATAGCATGTAAACATATAATTTTTTTCCCCACACGTAATCTATTAAATCATTTTAATTTGGATACTTATGAGTGAAAATCAGAAGGTTATCGTATATGGTCCAACTTTATTTTGGGATTCTTGAGCGAAGTGATGTGTCTTAATTTTTCTTGATGAATCTTAGATATTTTAAATTATGGTATTGTAAATAACTACGTAAGTGTTGCATGTGAGATAAAGCGGTTGTGATAAATGTGATTTTATTTTATTATTATTTTTTTGGTAGTAATTATGATACGAAACATTAAATGGAAAGTAGTTGTAGTTATAGAGTCTGATTTCCGTCTGATTCCTTTTTTGCTTTTTGACACTACTGATGGCTCAATCTCATATGTTAATCAAGGAAGGAGTGGTACATTGCATTGAAATTAACTTTCAAAGTGAACTTTTAAGCGTTGGATGATGACTGAAAAAAAGAATATATTTATTGAATTTCTATTTAAATATCTGAATTTCAATTTTACATTTCTGAATTTTTATTTTATCCTAATGTCGACATATGTTAAAAATATAATTATGTAACTGTTATTTTGTGGCATATGGAAAAAAATGGCTCCAACATGTTTTCAGAAAACTACATATTTTATACTTGATCTTTATTAAATTTTTCTTTAAGTATCTTAACTCTAATATTCCATCTATTTTAGTTTTTAACTTTTTTGTTTCCTTAATATGATGATCATCATACTAGAACTTAGAAATGCGATGGCTTGGCTGCTATTTTGTGTCACATAAATAAATAAATAAATAAAAATTAGATTCAAATTTTTTTTAAAACATTGATTTTTCTTAATTTTTTATCAATTCAATAATAAAAATAAATTATTGAAAACAAACAGCGAGCATGCACGCTTGGTCCATTAGGAATAAAAAATATATCTTCTAGAAACATCAATAACCAAAATAGAGCATAATATCAAATGCTTATATGAATACCAACAATCACGAAAATGTTAAAGGAACAATTCATATGAATATAAGTTAATAGTGCATCGAATATGGATGGATAATGATGTAAATAGTACTTTCTCTAAATCTTTTAGTGTTTTGTATAATGATATCATGTAAACATATAATTATTTTTCTCCACACGTGATCTCTTAAATCATTTTAATTTGGATTCTTATGAGTGAAATTCAAAAGGTTAACACATGTGGTCCAACTTTATTTTGGATTCTTGAGCAAAGTGACGTGTCTTAATTTTTCTTGACGAATCTTTGATGTTTTAAATTATAGTATTGTGTATAACTATGTAAGTGTTACATGCGAGATAAAGAGGTTGAGACAATGTGATTTTTTTATGGTAATTATGATACGAAACATTAAATGGAAAGTAGTTATAGTTATAAAGTCCTATTTCTTTTTGACTTTTTTACTTTACCGGCGGCTCAATCTCATATGTTATTCAAGGAAGGAGTGGTACATTGCATTGAAATTAACTTTCAAGGTGAACTTTTAAACGTTGGATGATGACTCCAAAAAAAAAAAAAAAAGTATATTTATTGAATTTCTGTTTAAATATCTCCATTTCAATTTTACATTTCTTAGTTTTTATTTTATTCTAATGTCGACATATGTTAAAAAAATAATTATGTAACTATTATTTTGTGCCATATGGAAAAAAATGGCTCCAACATATTTTGAGAAAACTACATATTTTATACTTGATCTTTATTTAATTTTTCTTTGAGTACCTTAACTCAAATATTCCATCTATTTTAGTTTTTTTAACCTTTTTTTTTTATTAATGTGATAATCATCATAGTAGAACTTAGAAATGCGATGGCTTAGTTGCTATTTTATGTCACATGAAAAACAAAAAAAAAAAAGTGGATTCAAAATTTATAAAAAAGAAGCAAATCATTCAAATTAATATTTAAAATATAATAATAAAACAAAACTAAAAATAAAATAAAATGTTAAGTAATATATTAAAAATAAAAGATCAATTTCAAAACCCCTTCACCATCTTTTTCTTTTTCCTTCCTTTGATTAAAATCTAAACTAGATTCATGATCACGAAAAATAGAATTTAATTTGTTTTGATGGTGTGGTGGACTGTCTGTGGTATTTATGATGCATGCTCAATCTATTAACTTAACAATGACCATTGATGATTGTGGTGGTTCATGTTGATTTAGTTTTTATTGAAACCTACACAAATAAGGTAAAGAAAGGAAATGAAATCTTATGAATACACAAACCTAGAAGAACTCGTACAGATATTCTATGAATAATCATAGCAATACCAAAATCTCCACCATTAACCAATTCTCTCAACCCTAAATTTCTTATTTTATCCTCCTCCTCTTTGTCTTCTTTCTCTTCCTGCTCCTGCTTAGGTAAGGCAGCAGTAGCAGTCCTACCAAGATGCCTCTCAAAGTAATTACCATAAATATACTTAGGGGTATAGACCTATTCTTTTCATCAAAAAGCATGATATGTCTATACCATCTCCGTATCCGATAATCCGATCCCTTTTTCTCATGAAACCTAACACAAATATGGTGTTTATCGATTGAAACAGGCTGACCAGAGTTGGGTTTCGATGAATGGGTCTTACCTAAAAGGATGACTCAGATTGATTTCCTTTTCGAGCTTGGACTCTTTTTTTGAGAGCTAGATTTTGCTGGTGTCATCATCATTTTCATTCAAGGAGTTATCAATGTTGAAAAAGAGGTCTTATAGGGATTGAGAAAAGAAAGGGTCTTGAGAAAAAGGAGGGGGATGGATTTGGAGGCAACCCATTAGGGTTTGGAGGAGAATATTGTCGAAGTTAGTGAATGAGCTCATGACATCTGTGTTTTGACTTTTTTTGGAATGAAAACAAAGATAGATTAGATTAGATTAAAAAAAAAAGAATTTTAAAAATGAAGATTTTAAATTAGATCATACCATAAACAACATTGTCGTTGTCCAATCTTCTCTTACTCGTTGCCACCATTATCCCTGTTTTTAGCAGCTGTTGATCATCCTTAAAACTCTAGCCACACCTAACTTTCCCACAAACCCCCAGCTCCCTAACTTTAATAGCCACACCTAACCTTTCCACACCAAACTTCAGCCACCTAAACTCGTCTGCAACAATATCCACTATCCTCTTCCGTGCTAAAATCCATTGTCAACAGCCCTGCTATCCTCCTTCATACAAAACCTCAATCACCAAAACCCACTGCCAATAGTCCTATGCCCTTTGGCAACTCTCCCTCCCAATTGCCACTAGCCACACCACTACCTCTGAAGGCCTAAAACTTTTCTCCCAACAACCTTCTTCTAGTGGCCGGAACCCCTCCCCAGACTTCAGCCACCCAAACTCATTAGCAATAATACCCACTGTTTTTCTTCCACACCAAAATCCACTGTCAATAGCCCTGCTATCCTTTTTCATACTAAAACCCATTACCAAGTCCCATACCCACTGGCAACACCTCCCACTATCATCAGCCACGCCACTGCCTCTAAAGGCCCAAAACGTTTCTCCTAACAGCCTCCTCCTAACGGTCGAAAGTCCTTCCTAACATCAACTTTTGACATTATTTTTAGGAAGGATTTCATTTACATAAGAGAGAAAAAATTACGTACGTGAAAGATAGAGAAGTACCCTAGGTTTTTACGAGTGTAGATTTTTAGAGATAAGATTGAATATGTGGCAATCAGCTATTGATTATCGAGATTATATTATTTTGATCTAATAAAGAAATTCAACGACGAAGAAGAAAAATAAAGACCAAATGGTTGAGAGTCTCTGTTTAATAAAGGAAATCCAACGGCCAAAAAGAAACATAAAGATCAAACGACTGAGAGGCAACAAAAAAAGCGACCGTACAGAGAAAAAAAAAAAAGGAATAAGAACAATAGAACGTACAATGTTAATAGGTCTAAAAGAACAATAAAAACTACAGTGCATGTGTTATCTCTTTTATTTTTTTATTTTTTGGAATAATTAAACAATTATTTTATGTTTGTACTGTATTGTTATTCATGTTATATTTGGAATTTATTTTTAAGACAATTTTTTCTATTTCAATGTGTTTTAAGGCTGTTTAGTCATTATAATTTCCTTTTTCAGACATAGAGAAAAATTACAATTTAAAATTATATATCCATACAAATTTATTTTTCCATGTTGAACATATATTTTTTAAAGTTATATGGATTTATTATTAGATATATTCAATAGCATCACTCATCTTAAATCATTAACTAGTAGTAAATTAATGGTTTTTAATATATAATACAAAAATAATGAGAACATAAATTGAACAAAATTAAAAAAACAACAAAAAAAACATGAAAAATAATGGGAAATAGAATTATTAAAAAAAAAAAAAAAAGGCGAGCTAGAGCAAGCACAAGCACACCTAGGCCATAATGCATACCTAGGTAAATAGAAAAGGAGACTTGAATGATGTCATCGAAGACGCTTTGTTTACGGTCTACTACTTCAATTAGGGGCCAGAATCTGGCATTTGCGTCGGATTCCGATCTCCAATCATAAAAACTTTAATATTTGGTTCGTTTTTAATTGAAAAAATACATCCAAACACTCCTCTAGATCTTCTACGAATAAATGTAACCTCAAAAACTATTTTTAAACAACCACTTAACACAAAAATTAAGTTTGAACTTTTTAGATACTCTAAACCAATATATCTTCCAATTATGATGGTAAAATAGTCCGATTCTGGTGTCTATATTTTCATCATGATGAGAACTTTCATTTAATGGTTTTGATTGTCGGTGTTAAGACCGGATTGCTGGACGGAAATTTTCTCTTTCCTCTCTTCTCTTCCTCAGAGCACTTCTTTTTATTTTTCTTTTATTTTTATGATTTTGAGTTTTTTTTTTTTTTATCAAATGTAATGGTAAAAAACAATCCATAAAAAAAATCAATGGTCATGATTAATAAACGAAGAACATGACTTGAAATTAAGAAAAATTCATGAAGACAAAAGAAGAAAAAAATTCTTCAAAACTTTTGTCTGTGTGTTCTTCCTGTCCCAGCTAGAGAATACAAAAAATTGCCTAATTTTTATCCCAGAGACGTGGACAAAATTGAGTTTTATCTCCCTCTCCGCATACCAAACACCCGTCTCCTGCGTTCTGTAGCCTAACAAACGTTACCATAATGCCAAGTGTCCTTTTTTCTTTGTCTTTTCTTAGTCATCATTCTATATAGATAACTTTTAATCTTAAGAATGGAATGTGTGCCAACGCCAAAAGTTGTAGTCCTTCCATAAAAAAAAAAAAAAAAAAAAATTTCTAATATAGATAGTGCGTCCATATACACAAATTCCTCAGCATTGTTAATATATAATATTTCTTCTTTAGCCCACATAATTTTATCCTTTGCTCTTTTTCTTTTTTATTCGTTGTAAGATAGTAGATCTTAGCTATTAGTTTTATTTTGTACTAGCATAGATTTTTATTCATCGTAGGATGACAATATTAAAAAATTTTATTATATATTTGTAAAAGTTATAGAAATAATAATGATGACGTTAATGATTAAAAAAATAAAATTAAAAAAGCATAATAGTGGTATTAATTTTAAAAATTAAAATAAACTAAAAATGATAATTATGGCAACCATGATGGTAATAGTGGTATTATGATAATAATAATGATCATGCTTATAATAATGATGTTGTGTTAGTGATGTGATAACATAATTGTGGTAATAGTGATAATATGATTTTACCGTAAATTAAAAATTATTTTATTATTATTTTAAAAATATTATTTTAATTTCAAAAATTATAAAAAATACAACAATTCAACTAAATACATTTTATTATTATTCATATCCGTAACATATATAATAGGGATGAAGAATTAAACAATGAAGACCTTTTCCCTATTTTCTTTATGAGGGAAAAAAAAAGACAAAATGACTTTTTCTCCTTCAAAAGAAGTATTTTGCGGTATTGCCCAAACGAAGCCCAAGCTCAATTTCAAAGCTCAATTTCAAATGGTAGTATCAGAGTTACTGAGTTGGCTGGGAGAGGACGGCGAATGTTATTTCCGGTAAATTCATCACATGCAACAGAAACTACAGCAGAGTCCTCGGTTATATCACTCAATCAATCACCAAGTACCCCAAAAATCAAACAGTCCTTGTCTTTTCTTGTCTTGTAAAAAGGATAAGACTACTAGTGTTTCCGTGAATTTTATCTCTTCTTCCGGCAACTGCATTTTATTGCTATATTAACGATTTTTGAAGAGTGATTTTGTAGTAATTCATTAACTGTTGCACTGCCTGCCTGCCTGCCTGCCTGTCAATGGATGTACCAACTTTTCAGAAACTCTCTCTGGGTAAGTTTCTTGGCCTTTTGTTTTTCTCATCTTTCTGTTTTTTTTTTTTTTTTTTTTCCTCCTACAAGAAAGTCGGAACTCGCTTTAATTTTTTGTAACTGTTGGTGATAAAACTGTGAATTTCCTTTTGATAATTTTATCAGTTTGTTGCGTATTGCTTGACTTATTACCAATAACAAAAGAGCTGCTTCTCAATCTTCGTGGAAGGAGCATTGTTATTATATTTGATAATTGGATATTTGGCATCCATTTGAATCAATGATGACCGCTTGGTTGTGGGATTTTTTGTGAGGATTTGAGGAGTATGTGCCTTGCTGTTTCTTTTTCTGAAGTTGATTTCTTTATCAGATTATTGTTGTTGGAATAACACTGATGTCGATTTCTTTATCAGGCTATCTGTCTTCTCTTACTATTGTTGTTTTCCACAATGTAATGAAATGCCATTACAGATTCGTTGGAGTATAAGAGATGTAGTTCTCCAATGGAGCCTCCGTATAGTTTTTTTGCATCAGTCAATGCAGCAGAGAACAAACCATTTTATTTCTTACATGGGGTGTATGGTAAGTATGGTTTAACTTGCATCTATATGAACCTATGTGTATGATCTATAAACAAGTGTTTTATGAAAAAAGAGATGGTGCCAATATGTATCATCAGTTTACAAGGGCTGGTTTGTTTATCGCAGTTATCTTCACATATATACTTTGCTGAGAGGTTTAACTCTTTTTTTAACATGAGATCCGATAGCATTTTTTTTTATTTACAATTGCAAGTCCAATGTGTAATATTGGAAACTCAGCCTCTAGCTTTTCTGCAGCAGACTATCCTAAATTTTTGTTATGGCTTTTACAGAGGGCATCATAGCTGGAGGTGCTGCAGGTGTTATTGCAGAAGCAGTATTATACCCTATTGATACAGTTAAAACTCGATTACAGGCAAGTAGGCTTATTCTATCTTATTTTGCTTTATCTTTTGCTCTACATTGCAACCCAATACTAGAATGTTTCAGACTAGATTCAGGTTTGAAAAGAAACTACATCCACTATGCTATACTGAGCTTGGTTCTTACAGAAACGTAATTATCTTTTTCTTCTCCACCTCTATTTCGTGGTTGCATCATGCCATCATATTTTGATTGTGCTGTACTTTCGTGTAAAATTGTGAGCACTTGAGTGCTGTTACTCTTTCTATTGTCTCTGATTGCTTGATCTTAATTCCAAGTTAAGTTACACTGTTGCTTTACCTCTGATTGCTTGATCTCAAATCTAACGCTGAAACCAATTATGATGAGTAAAATTCACTGATAGTGTTCTTTTCTTTCTGTTGGATGATTAAGACTTCTTCTGGCCTCTTCATGGTGTACTGCTAGAAGGGCAATTGGGTGTATCAATAGAAGATATTCAACTAAATTTGAAAGCCATTGATATGATTTTTCCTAAATTTTATGCCTTCTCTTAGTATTGTACGATGCATTATTTTCATTATTGTAACTTATATTCTCTAATCCTTTCGGATATTAAAACGAGAAGAAGAAAAAGACTTGTCATATTGTTATGCGAGTTGTAACCATACCTGACAGTGGAAGTGCAAAAGAATCAAAAGACAAAAAAAAAAAAAAGAAAAACCAAATTTTGCACATGTTATACAAGCTATAAACTTTTTTATTATCTGAATTATGATAAACAATTGTACATGGTTTTCATGTTAGGCTGCTCATGGTGGAGGGAACATTATTTTGAAGGGCCTGTATTCTGGATTGGCTGGAAATCTCGTCGGTGCCTTAACGTGAGTATTTAGTTTCAATATATATTCACCTATGCAGTACATAATTGAGCTTGTAGATAGACAATCATTTTTGTGTATGGTTGGATAAGGGGGCCCTCATGTTTGCCACATGAAGATCCAAAACAGGTGAAATACGGTGTACTTTTGTATCTATGTTCTGTATTGCTGCTCTTATTTTGTTCATTTTTTGAGTGTTTCTTTTTTCCATAATTCAAATTTAATTAGCACTTAGTGTCATCTAGATTATTAACTATTTTTTGTGTTTGGTGGCATGGAGTTTATGAATTTATCTCTTTTCTTCTTGCAGTGCTTCTGCTATGTTTGTTGGCGTGTATGAACCTACAAAGCAAAAATTGCTAAAATCTTTACCGGAAAACCTTAGTGCTTTAGCTCAGTTGGTAAGATACCTGACTAATGCACTTCAAGTTGCTATACTAATTCTTACGAAAAATGTTGTTTAATCCAACACAATTCAACTAACACTCTATAAATATTTTTCCCCTAAAAGTCCTTTCTATTACTTCTGCATGTTTAAATTTACTTGATACACACCTAAGAATGGTCCAAATGCAGCCCTTTGCATCTTCAGCTAATGTTCATATTTGTTCAAAAAATAACCTATTGAAAAGTCAGGTCCTTCACTTTCATGTTCTAAGTTTGCATATTGTGCAGGTTCTTTTTTCTTTTTCTTTTTTTTTTCCTTTCTTTTTCTGCAATGGGGAGAATCTTACATTCAATCTACTGTATAGAACCTATCTTTGTTATTTTAATAGGTTACGAGACTTCATTCAGACTGCAGGTGCCATTGGGGGTGCTGCTTCATCTATTATTCGTGTACCAACAGAGGTAATTAATTCTGCTTCTTTGTTCTCCATCCTTTCCTGGTTCTTATCAGGTCTATTCTCCCTGAACATTTTTCAGGTTGTTAAGCAAAGGATGCAAACTGGGCAATTTGCTTCAGCCCCTGATGCTGTCCGTCTTATTGTCTCTAAGGAGGGTTTTAAAGGTCTCTTTGCGGTACGCAACACTTCAGATCTTAAAATTTGATTTAGTACTGCAAGATTCAATTTTGGGGCCCAAGCTTTATAGTTTTTCTGGAGAATATTATGGTCTACCTACATTAGACGAAGTTTTGATCGTGTAAAGTTAATTCTGAGAAGCATCATTCTTTCTAAAGCTACCCATATGTCATTTTGTGCATAATTGCTACGTAACGCTGCTTGATAGTCATTATGCACGTGATAGTATGTCTCGTGAATTTAGTTGTTTATTTTAAACTTTCAGGGGTATGGATCCTTTTTATTGCGAGACTTGCCATTTGATGCAATTCAGTTTTGCATCTATGAGCAAATGCTAATGGGATATAAGTTAGCGGTAAGCTTTCTTTTACTTCCTAGAGCTAGGGCCTATAAAATTTCATAACTTAGTTTTATTTACATATGTTTTTGATAATTCTGTTACCTGGCTTCATGGATTTTATTATTTTCTTTACATCATGTTAAGAGGAAACTAATGAATCTCGTGTGTCTATTCTACACATGGTGGGTGATTTAATGACGAAATTGTGCAGATATGACCACTTTATTCTCTTTTTCTTTAGGCAAAGAGAGATATGAAGGATTCTGAGATTGCTATAGTTGGCGCTTTTGCTGGTAATGAAGCATTCTCCTTAGGTTCACCAAACTCTGTTGATTTTTCTTACTTTCACTCCTGCTGTTTTTCTTAAATAAATTATTTTGGCCTTAGCTTTTTATGAATGATGTATTAGCTGTTCTGAGCTGCAGTTGTTGCTGCCTTCAAAAATGTTTCTTGATATATCTTGCCACCCTTATGTCCTTATTGGAAGAATTTATTCCTTTCATTTAAGGATATAATTTTCTTATTTAATGTTCTTTCTTTTTCTGAATTTTATTTGACATTCCATCTAAATGGAAGGAGTGATAATAAATTCATGTCGCATCCTCGTTAATCCTGTTTTATTTGTCCTATAATGCCTATATATGTAAATTACAGATGTATATAAATCTCTACTTTTTGTGAGTCTCTCTGATAATATGGTTCACGTGCAGGTGCAATAACTGGAGCCATGACTACCCCACTCGATGTTGTGAAAACCAGATTAATGGTCCAGGTAGAGATCATCTGTAATACTGCTCTTTGGCGAATCTTTCAGTGCATTTCATAAATTTTCTGTGTATTTTGAACTTTTGCAGGGCTTGATTATCAATTTTCTTCTTCCTCTTTCATGGAAAATTATTAGTGAATCTTCTTCAATCTTATTGTCTGTTCAAACCTTTTCAGGGATCTGCAAACCAGTACAAAGGGATTTTTGATTGTGCCAGGACTATAGCAAAAGAAGAAGGAACCCGTGCTCTTTTGAAGGTTGGTTTGTTTCTTATCTTTTTCCGACAATATAAATAATAAAAATGAGGCAGCCATTCTTTTATTTCTTCTATGGTTTTGGTGGATGTATTCACAAATTCAGAGGGAAATCCTTAGGTTTCAATTACATGGTACAGCTGCTCAAAACTGGGACATATTGTTAATCACCCTGTCTTATTTTTTGCAAAAAAGGCAATGCAAGCATTTGCCCTTCTCACTTTTTGGTGTAAATCCCAAGTTACTCAACCCAAATAAACAAAGCTGAATAGAAGAGATGGTTCCATGCAGCTGAACCAAAGTGGTTAGCATTAGTTGAGTTGATATAAATCTCAATTTATACTCTCACTTAAAACTTTATATCCTTCTTCCTGGTACTTGTTCTTTATTTTCACATAAGAAATCTAGCATTCTGCTCCTTCTAAAACAACAGAACTTGCTGGTTTTCAATTTAGAGGGATCGGATGTGGGTACTCCTTCTAACTGAAATGGTTTTCTCAGGATGTCAGTCAGATAGTTTTTGCCCCCATATCTTTATGCTCTTGGAAGTGTTCTTATTGACTTTGCTTTTTGATTTTTCTCCTTAGATCTCGAGTTTTATGATTTTTTTGAGAAGGTATGGATCCTTTAGTTTAGTTATAAAAATGGGAATCATATCCACATATAACCATATATATCACACTCTTTTTCAATCATACCCTCCTATTAAAAAAAAAAATCAATCAACCTGAACCTTAGTTTATTCCTATTCTTCTACTATATCATTCTATCAATTAATTCCATTAAAGGGTCTGGAGCTGGGTAAGCTTAATTATCCAATAACATGCATGTCATGAGGCATGCTACATTTAAGTTGCAATAATTTAAAATGCGAGAAAACATTAGATGTGTTCTACTTAGAGCATGTTTGGCATGTCTTATGAAAAATATTTTGATTTTGAGTCATAATTCAAAAGTTGCTTTTCATAAACAATTTATGAAATGAATTAAAATGACTTGCAATTTTTTTGAACAACAAATGTTGTATAAGTTAGAATCCATGGTTTTAACTTTTGATTAAATCAAAATTTTGTAACGAACTTTTAATCAAAGTTAAAAGTATTTTATGATTATTACTATTAATATTATATTATTATTGAAACTAACATACCTATGACTTTTCTTTGAGTCAAAAGTTAAAAATCAAGTCAAATCAATTTGCAAATGCCATACCAAACATGCCTTCGTTTTCTACCATTTGATGCAGGGTCTTGGACCGAGAGTATTATGGATAGGTGTTGGAGGAGCAATTTTCTTTGGTGTCCTTGAAAAGACAAAGCAAATACTTGCTCAAAGGCGCCCAGATCCTAAAGATGTCAGTCTAGACTAAACTTCACAAAACTCTATGTCCAAACATTTGAAGAACACTTCAGTTTCTGAAATTTTTGTTCACTAAGGCAAAGAAAAGAAAAGGTCAGGTTATGTATATTGTTCATCTCCATGGTCTTGTAGCCCTGTCCCTTACCAGTAGGAATCCTTTTCGTGAATCTCGTTGATGTGTTGAGACCTTTTGATTTTGGGATTTGATGATATTTTCAATTTCAGCATATTTCACATTAATTTTTTCTTTTTCTTAAAAAAATATATTGTGATTTTTGTTTTGATGAAAAGAATAATGAGTAAATTATAAATTAGTCTCTCTTGTTATGAGAAATAAATTGATTAGTCTCTTTGGTTTTAAAAACTAATTATTTAATTAATTTTTACTATGACTAATTTAATAAAAAAAATATTTTATAAAATATTTTTTCATCAATCTTTTCATATTTTTATTTCTTAAAATAAAAAATAAATTAAATTAAAAATAAAAAAATTAATTAATTCTTAAAGTCAGAAGAACTAATTAATTTATTTCTCAACACAAGAGGGATTAATTTATAATTTATATGAAAGAATGATGGTTCCGTCCTTACTTTTTTTTTGTTATTTTTTTTGGGGTACAAGTACAACTGCTAAATGACCAATAAATAATAGCTTTCGTGCCGTAGACACAAGACATTTTTGCTACGTAGACGGTGACATCACCACCTTTGCTCGATGAGAGACCTGGCAATATCCTGTTGATCCTTGAACTCAAAACCCTTTCGTTTTGAAGAATTAGTTGTCCCCTCAATGGCACGTTAGCATGGTAGCTCTTTTCTTTTCTATTTTCCCTAAAACTGTAGTAGTTCATTTCTGGCAATACTTATTGGGTGGTGGCCAAAACAAGAAAAGGTTCGTTTTGTTTTCTTTTTGCCGCTGATGAATTGGTTGTCACCTATAGCAGCCCTATTCTTTTTCTTTTTTCTTTTTTTTTTCCCTAAAACAATAGTATTTCATTTCCGGCAATACTTTTTTGGTTTGGCCAAAATGAAAAAAGGTTCGGTTTTTCTTTTTTTTTCCTTTTTGAAGAATTAGTTGTAACCTCGTTGGCACGTTAGCGTGAGAGCCCTTCTCCTTTTTTTCTTTTTGTTTTCTGGCAATACTTTTTGGGTGGGGCCAAAACGAGAAATGGTTCCTTTTTTTTTTTTTAATAATAATAAGTTAAAAAAAAAATTGGTTGTCACCTCAATGGTCCGGTTAGCATCGTAGTCCCTGTGTCTTTCCTTTAAAAAAAAAAACAAAATTTCTCATTTCTAAGAAAACTATGCTTTTGTTTTTTTCCCGAAAACTATAGTAGTTCATTTCTCGTTCATTTCTTACAATGCTTTCTGGGTGTGGCCAAAATGAGAAAAGGTTCGTTCTTCTTAGTTAATGGCATTTATTTATTTTTGGTAAAATATATCAAGTTTCCTGCATTAATGATCAAACTGCAAGTTTCTAAATAAATTACTCTGTGTAAAAGGTTCCTGAAAAAATTAAAGTAAAACTTACTCCTTATGTTAGATAATGTTAGGTTTCCATCTAATTTTCCAAGAATAAAATTAATGTGTCAAGCCTCCTATATTATTGGTCAAATTGCAAGTAATCTATAAGTAAATTATTCAACAAAAAATAGATTTTTTTTTTATTAAGTGGATTAGGGTGCCACGTGTTAGGCACGTGATTTTAGTTAATTTTAGTTGGATAGAAACTTAATGTCAATTAACGTAAAGACTAATTTTTATCTTTAATTTTGTTCATAAACTGTTTACATTGAATAATTTATTCATGGACTGTTTATGTTTTGACCAATAATACAAGAGATATTGGTAGATTTTATCCTTTTGTTTTTTTTCCGGTCAGCTTATCACTCTTGATAAAAATGTCAAAACATTATTATAGTAGTTCATTTGAAGCACAAAACCTTTTAGTCTCATAATATGATCATTTGAAAGACACGATTGATAAAATAAAATACTCTTATAGAATATTTAATGAAATGTCAAAAGATTATTTTTTATTGGGTAGGACCGTATATTAAATGAACAGATAAGAACTGTATATATTTTATTAATTCTACGAATCAAATTTTATTTACATGGCATGAAGGAAGTGGAGTTTTTGTTTTCGTCCCTGCTAATATATAAGGAGTAATCATTGTGTTTTTTTCAACCACTACCAAAAGAAAGAAAATGGGGTTTCTATCACCTTTTAAGAGCTGGTTAAACGTGAGATGTCTAATTGATGAGTTCTTAATCAGATCCGTAGACATAAGCCTAATAGAACAATTCGAAAAGGCAAACCTACACTGGTTTTTCAAACTGCAAGTTATGATTTAGGTATTCAAGTGACGCAAATTATACCAATTTGAAAAAATCATTCAGAAGCTCACACCGTGGCAGTATACGATGCTGGTCTAAGTTCATTTTCAAGGTTAAAATCCACCTGTAAAGATCCATTTTGGGATTTGGACCTGCAGAATCAGTTCAATTTGCTCCAGTTTAAGAATTAAGTTTTGTTTTTTTTTTCCCTAATTTTTGTACTTCTAGAATTAATTTATAAATTTACAGTTTATTTTATTTTCTACTTCAACACTTAGCCAACTAGAACGAGCTACTTATGTTGTTTATAAACGTTTGACCGCCGTTATCGTTTTAGTAAAAAATATTAAGACTTGTGAGTTTTTTACAATTTATTTTGCGTGTTTTTAGTATTAAAAAACCTCGTACCGTTTCGCTATATGCTGCGTAAGTTATACCATTGGGCTATAAGGCCATGTAATGTTTTAGTTCACGCATAAAAAATTAAGTAAATTATAAACTAGTTCCTCTATTTTCAAGAAACAAATCAATTAATTATTTTTGTTTCAAAATTAATTATTTAGTCTTTGATCATGTTTAATTTAATATTTTTTATTTTATTTTTTTACTTATTTTTTTTTCTATTTCTAAAATAAAAAATGAAATAGATTGAAAATGAGCAAAAACAAATACAATAAAATTTAAAAATATAAAAATCAAACAATTAACTAATTAATTAGTTTTTTTAAAACTAAAAAGACTAATTTATAACTTACTCTAAAAAAATCTGACACGTTATCCAGGCCATGTAATTTTCAAGAGGTAGATACTTTGGACTATCCGTCTACATTGACGAGGGCGGCAAATTGGCATGGAATATTCATGGCGGTGGCATTTAGCCATCGAATGCTGATTTTTAATTCAAAAAAGTAAAGCATGCGGTACTCTAGCTAGAATTAGACGAGGGAATCTAGACGGGAGATGATATTCGCACTCCCAAAAGAGTTAACCGCACTCCCGTTGACTTTTTTGCAAATTGACCAAATTATCCTTCAAAAAGTTTAAGGATTGTTAACCTCAACGGTCTAATAACACCTGTTAGGCACAACTACCTCGAGAATGTAACTTTATTCGCCAAAATCATGCAAATCATGTCTACTACGGGTCATAGTTAAGCCTAGGGATGGCAACGAGGCAAGGCGGCCAGGGTGGGAATCGCCATCCCCATCCCCTCCTCGTCTCCTAAAAAATATTCATTTTCGTCCTGTGTCTTATTCAAGGAGGAATTTCGCTCCGTATCCCTGCTCCTTAGGGCTCTGCTAAATTATCTTTTATAAAGGTAAAAAGACGAGACGAGGCAGGGATCCCCATATCCCCAGCCTCATCCTCGCCACGTCCAAAACAAAAGAAAAATCTATTTTCGTTCTGTGTCTCATTTGAAGTAAAATTTCATGTCCTATCCCGACCCTAAAAGAGGCAAGGCGATGCGAGGCAGATTGGATTGTCATCTCTAATTAAGTCTCCCTTCCTTTTAACAGAAAGGGAATAAATTATAAATCAATTCTTCTAGCTTTAAGAAATAAATTAATCAATCCTTCAATTATTATTTAATTCTTTAATCATTTTGATTATGTTTAATTTAATATATTTTTATTTCATTAAATTTTTTATTTTCTCATCTATCTCTCTATATTTGTTCACATTTTTTTCCCTTTTTTCTTAAAACAAAAAATCGAAATAAATTAAAAAAATAAAATAAAAACTAAATTATAAGTAGATTTTAAAACATAAAAACTAAATAATTAATTTTTAAATAAAAAAGATCAATTAATTCTTTTTTTAATACAAGATGAACTAATTTATAATTTATTCAATAGAAAATAGACAAAAAGATATAGAATAAGAAAAGGAGCAGTAAAAAAGAACATATATACACGCTAGCATCAATGGAAAACAATCCAGTTTTTGTTGTTGTGTTGTCATTTTAAAACAAAGGTTGATTTTTCTTTAAAAAATTTTAAAATTATCTATGGCGTTTATGAACGGAACAATATCATCTCTCTCTTCTCCTTTGCCGCCTTTGTCTTAGACAGATATGACGTCAACAATCATGGAATTGATGGATTGCCACTAGTTGGGGGTTGGTAAAAGAGTTAATTTGAGCTGCTGGAGAAAACTATGGTGAAATTCAATTTCTTTGATCCTAACAGCAATTCAAAAATTTAAGGTTCATTTGCATATGCTCAAACCAGGAATTCTAAAATAAAATAATACTCCGGTAGTAACAAATACTTAAATTGCAAAGTTCTCTCCAACATCAAAAGATGTGATTTCTTGTCTAGAGTTTAGATTCATGGTAGGTCACCATTTCCAAGCTCAAAAGATGAGGATCTCCGTAAACAACCTAATTATTTTCATTAACTATCTCCATTAACTCATCAATCTAATTTTTCATCGGTAAAATTATCTAATAAGTACATCAATTTTGAATTTTTTCTCAATCGAATATATCAATTTTTATTTATTTTTTTGCTTTAGCATATCAATTTTTTTGAAAATATCAATCAAGTTTTTTCTTTTAATTTTTTATCTAATGATGATGTATTAATTAACATATAAGACTAAGCGACTATATTGTTTTTTTTCTCTTTTCAAATTATTTTTATTGTTTATTTTTAATTAAAAAAAGATAGCAAAACTGCTTAATTAAAAAAAAATAGCAAAGCAGCTTTGCTTTCTTTTAATTAATTATTAAATAATAATAATAAAATTAGGAGGATATAAAAAAAAGAGATAATATAGTCATTTAGTTTTTTCTATTAATTGTCACATCATCACTAAAAAAATAAAAAAAATTGGATGAAAAAAATTGATTGGTATTTTCAAAAAAATTGACATACTAAAAAAAAATTAATGTACTCAATTGAAAAAATATTTAAAATTAATATACTTATTATGTAGTTTTTTTTTATTTTCTATCAATTGTGTATGACACTCTGTGTTTTGCTCCGGGAAAGACATGGTGGTGAACGATGCTGGAGATGGCAGCAACGTCGTTGTTGGAGGTGATGGTGACTTGGACTGTTCAAAATTGGTTTGGTTCAAGTTTTATAAGGGTATGTTGGTCAATTTAGAAAAAAATTGAATAAGTGGTAGTGCGGTTAAACACTACTGGAGTGCGAATAGCGGAAACAAGCCTGTCGTCGTTGATGACTTCATATTGGAATCTTAAGTCATAACAGCCATGGAAGCAGCGTGATTGAAAATGACATTGGAGTCGACCCTTCAACCAAATAATGGTCATCAAAGAATCGTCCTTGGCCAATGCCCATCTGGCCATCTTTTTGTTTATAGTAGTTTTTTTTACCTTAAAAATAATTGATAATCTCTGCTTTAACCTTTGATGATGATATAGGGAGAGAGGAACTGAAAAGAAATAATCAGATATGGTTAAGACCCAATGCTTCAAATATGTTTTGTGTTTGGTTTGTTCTATATTTCTTAATATCTTCCTTCTTTTGAAAGAGGGTGGTGAGAGGAATCTGAGTTGGAGCCAAATTGCAGCAACAGAAGCTGAGACTGTGGCAGCAATATCATGCTCAGGACATGGAAGAGCCTTCCTGGATGGTTTGGTTCTTGATGGAACTGAAGGACCAGTTTGTGAGTGCAACACTTGCTATGGAGGCCCTGACTGCTCTCATTTCTTTCCTGATTGTTTTGCAGACGCTGATGGGTACATACCTATCTCCTCCCCTTGTTCTCTCAGCAATATCTGGTTATTTATTTATTTATATATATATGAGCCTAAATATTACTGATCGGTAGCAAATTATTGTTTCGGTTGAAAGTTGCTTCTCCATGATTGTTAAGAAGAAAGCAAAAGTTGATAGTTTAAAAATTATAAGGGAAAAAGGAAAAAAAGTAGAAGGTCGTGTGTATCAAATCTCTCTTTCTTCTTCATACAAATATTATGACGATAAAAATAAAATAAAATAATTGGACCCCGTATGCCACCATGTATTTCAGAAATTTGATTGGTGATCATCAAGATAATGAAAGAAAGAATTATGTGTTTGAAGATTTGTGCAGCATGAAAGATAATAAGAACAATTACAAGATACATATCTGCAAAAGTTTGTATTTGTTCTTCTTCTCAAGACAGACATGATTTGTAAATAATTAGTGAAATTAAGCTGCCATTTTTTCTTCTTTTTTTAATCTTGGGCTATATTGGAAAAAAAGAGGTTCTTGAAGATATAACCATTGATGGTATATTTGAGAACCCAAATTCCTTCAAGAATTATGAAGTTGCTAGCCAAGAAATTCTGCTTCACCTCGAATTCATCAAGAAGATATTCTCAATGAAGAATAATCTGCCAGTTGTCTCTGCAAGCTCCATAGCAATATAGCATCAGAGATTCAAAGAGAAGAAATTTGATGGCGTGAAAAGTTTACTCTCATAATTACTGCTTAGTTAAGAAAAGTTTTGGTGACAATCCTAATGAACTTACAGTTAGTGATGAGGCATTTAGAATTAAAGAGTAAGCAGCTAATCATTAGCACAACTGAGTTTCGTCTTAATCAAAGTAACAATACCGTCATTATCTCTATTTCAGTGGGGATCCTTTATTCTTGGAACCCTTCTGGATGCAGCATGCAGCCAGTAGCGCACTTCTAGTAGCAGGGTGGCACCGGATGAGCTATTCATATAGTGACCAGTCTTCCATGTCCGAAGAGCTTGAGAGACACATCCGCAAACTACATGCCATTGTAGGAAATGCAGCCACTGATGGAAGATATATTGTATTTGGTGCTGGCTCAACCCAACTCCTTAATGCTGCAGTTCGTGCTTTATCTCCAGAAAACTCCTCATCACCTGCCAGGGTGGTGGCTTCAATTCCTTTTTATCCGGTTGGTACCCCTCAGATTCTTGATTTTTATTAATTTCTTGTATTCACATTCTAGATGCTGCATTCACATTGGTGATGGTTCTGATGCTGCTGCTAAAACCTTGCAGGTTTATGAATTGCAGACAGACATTTTCCGATCGGTAGATTTCAATTTTCAAGGGGATACATCCTTATGGAAGAACAATTCAGACACTGGTACAGAAATAATCGAGTTTGTGACTACACCAAACAATCCTGATGGACAGCTGAATAAGGGTGTTCTCCATGGTCCAAATGTCAAAGCAATCCATGACCATGCATATTACTGGCCACATTTTACGGCTATTCCAGCTCCGGCACATGGGGATTTGATGATATTCACTCTTTCCAAGTTTACTGGTCATGCTGGCTCTAGATTCGGGTAACACCAGATGTTTACTATTTTATGCACAACAATATATATGTTTTCTACTAGTTCTAAGTTTTTGTTTTAAATATTTTCTACAGAACACATTTTGAGTCTTTCTATGGTTAAGCATTCCCAAGATTATGCTTTACCAATTTAGTTCCATATTTGGTTCTGTATACAAGTCTTTTGTTTTACACAGGTGGGCAATCATTAAGGACGAGGTCATCTACCAGAGAATGTTAACCTTCCTGCAGCTAAATACCATGGGAGTTTCTAGGGATACTCAGTTAAGAACTTTAAAGCTTCTAAAAGTAGTCCTTGCTGGAGGAGGAAGGGACCTGTTCGAATTTGGGCATGAGACAATGAGGAAACGCTGGGAAAAATTGAACAAGGTCATTTCAATGTCGAAACGCTTCTCTCTGCAAAAAATTGCACCCAAGTACTGCATCTACTTCCAGAAAATCAGGGGAGTTTCACCAGGTAACTCTCATCCAAAGATAGAAAATGTTTTGAGTACAGGGATTTTACACTCTATATATATCACCATGTCCAAGATTGTGTTAACTATTTCAAATACACTGCAGCTTATGGATGGTTGAAGTGTGAAAAGGAAGAAGATAAAAATTGTTTTGCAGTACTGCAAACAGCTGCCAATATCACCGGCCGTCAAGGCAGTGTGTTCTATGCAGAAGATCGCTACGTGCGCCTCAGCCTCATCAGAAGGCAAGACGATTTCGATTTATTGCTTCAGAAACTAAATGAGTTGATCACAGGAGAAGAAGGTCCCAAGACTATGTGAAGAGTGTAGTCCACGTCTTGACTACAAAAGGGCATGTCTGTTGACCTTGCATAGGAATGTGCATCCTTATCATTTACTGGTCATGTGTCTATTGACCTGCTCTATTTGAAGGTAGATGCATTGATAGTCATTAAGGTCATGTCGATTGACCTGTTTCACTTGTGTGTATCATACTATCATGAGTTATAAAGGAGCCATGTGTTCTATCTGTGAATTATTACATCGATGGCTTGAATTGCCATGTCGCAGCTTAGATGAGTCTGTAAATCCAAAAACCGGGAAACACTGCTGCAAGTGTTTTGTAGGTGGATTTGCCATATTTGCCTGTGGTCAATTAGGATAAAAATTGATGATTGTGAGCAGTTTAGTGTTAAAAATATTGAACATAGTTTTCTACACATCTTTATATTTCCCACTGGTTGGGTGACAGATCGGCCATAGGAGTACTCCGGGGTATAAACCAGGGCAACAAACGTCGAGCATACGACGATGCCGCCCGTTTTCATTTCATGGAAAATAAATGGGTTCTGTTTGGTCAATTTGCTTGACTTGTCTACTTGCACGTTGTATTTCAAGCTTGGATCCTTTTCCCCCTCTTGTAAATTTGCAATTAAATGTAATTATTGCTGGCAAAACATAGAGAAAACAGCAGAAATTAGGAGGAAACAAAAACAACACGAAGCTAAAACCAAAGTAAATCCCGACAAGCCTCCTCCTCGGCTAAGCCAATTACAGATCATTCTCAATTTCTTGGACAGTTCCTGCATATAAGTGTGTTTCACTGGATCTGCCAGCGGATGGGAAGACCAGCGGCTTTTGGGCGGGCTATGCTGCATTTAAGGAATCTATGATGTCTTCTTGGACTGTCAATGTAAGTCAGATGTTATAGTAATATCCTGGAGATTAACTTGATGGTTAAAAAGATTTGCTTCCTTCTTAATTTTTTTTAAATTTGAACCTTGTATCTAATATGTAGAGTAATTTATTTCTCTGATTGTACCAAGTATGATAAAGAGATACACTCTTAGAACCATTTAATAAAAAAATTTAATTTCGATTAATTTATAAATAGATACAAAAATACTAATTACTCTTGAACAAAAAAATAAAAAATAAATATATTATACGAACCAAAGTAATGTTTTTAAGAAATAAAACATTAGGAAGGAATTCCATTACCATTTACGCGGATTTGTTTTACCCAAAAGCATACTAGAGCCTATATTGGACAAATGAATAAAAACAACCCTCGATTTTTTTATTATTTATTTTGTAATGAAGTTGAAATTTACTAAAAAAAACTAAAGGAAAACCTTCGATTACAGTAACGTTATTATTTAAATCATTGTCCATGCTTTCACATTTCACTATTCATCCTCTTATAATTTATTATACGTTGCACTATTCATGACTTTTTTTTATATTTTGGTCCCTAATATTTTTGAATGTATATTTTGATACATATGTTCATTTGTTCATTTATTTTGATCCTTGAGTGGAGAGAGAAGGCTGAGAGGAAGAGAGAGATTGTCGGCCAACCTCATTTAGGTCATTTTGACCGACGAAAATCTACTAGATTTTTTTATCTTTGAGAGATGAGTTTGTCCATGATGATTTTAAGTAATTAAACAATTAGAGGAGGTAGTCGACAGAAAAAAAAAAATCTAATTTGATTTTATATTTTTCTTTGTTTTTATGTGTATTAAAATAATTTTTAATATGTTAGATGTGTTTATTAGCTTTATTTCAGTTATTTAAAGATGTTTGAAAAAAAATGATATCAAAATTTAATTTTTAAGGGTTTGAAAGTTGATTCTTAATTTTTCGATGAATTCTGACGACCTTGGGTCCCTTGGATGTTTTTTTTTGTTTTTTTTTTTTTTTGGTAGGTGTTGAGCAGCAGCTTAGGCCTGACATGCAGGCCCGAACTAATCAACCCAGGCCTGACACACAGGCCCTAGCTGGCCTGGAGCGCAGGATTTTTTTTTTTTTCTATTTTTCCTCGAAAATCTGTATATATATACATATATTTGCGCCAGCCCAGCTAAATTTTCATATATTTGCGCCAGGCCAGCGCTGACTTTTTTACTATGCCATACAACTATTTGAAAAGAACAACCAGCCTGCCTCATTTTTTTTCTTCCTAGATGTATATTATATAATATATAACAATGTAAAACAATATATATATATATATATACGAGAGAGAGAGAGAGAAATGTATTATATATATATATATATATATATATATGATGCATATATATATATGTGTGTGGAATTAGGTGTGAAAAGCATATAAAATAAATCGTTATAATTTTTAGATGATAGAATATATATGATATTTTTTTAGATTTTAGTTTAAACATATATATCTGATTATACTACTTTTATTGTTTAAAATTTATTTCTTAAATTATTTGTTTCTTATTGAAATTCTCATCATATTTATTTTTGATGTGATTTTATTTGTTAATAAGTTTAGTTTTTTGATATATGAATTTTAGAATAAAAATTTAGAACATCGATCTTTTATTTTTAAAAAATATATTATTATAATTTATACAATAAATTCTTCTTTTGTTCTTTAAATGTGTTTTTTCTTTTTTAAAATATATTATTATGATTTATAAATTATGAGAGAGAGAGAGAAGAAAAAAGAGAGATAAAAGTATGTTTTAGATAGTCGACTCATTTTTTTAAAAAAAAAATCAATAATTAGTTAAAATAATTCACAAGTTTTTTTTTCTTTACACACACACACACACACTATATATATATATATATATATATCGCAGCATAACGCGAGTATCTTATATTTTTTTTTTCAATTTCAAACTTTAATTGTATTGTAATTTTGTCACATTTTATTTTAGTATTTTTTTATAATTTTTTTTATTATTTCAAATTTGTTATTTTAATTTGTCATTCTTCTTTTAAATTCTCATCCAATTAATTTAAAATTATATAGTCCTCAAATTTTCTATACAATATTTTCTTTAAAAAAATTAAAACTTTAATCTGTATTATGATTTAATCCTATTTTGTTTTAATATATATATATATATATATATATATATATATATTTTAATATTTAAAATATATAACTTTAATTTTTTATTTTTTTAAATTCTCATCCAATTAATTTCAAATTATATTCAATGACGAGTTTTGGTTTATTTTAATATTATTCATTCTTTTCTCATCCAATTAATTTAAATTTATATGGCCCTCAATTTTTTTATACAATATATATATTTTTTAATTTCAAACCTTAATTGTATTGTGATTTTTTCCCATTTTGTTTTAATATTTTTTATTGATTATTTTTATTATTTAAAATTTACTATTTTAATTTGTTATTTTTAAAATTCTCATTCATTTTATTTAAAATTACATTAAAATATTTAAAATATTTTTTTCACTTTTGATTTCATATATTTTTTATACATTCATGTCATAAAACAAACTATCAAACTAAAATAATTTTATATATTTTATTTAACACTGAAGCATAACGTGAATAAAAAATCTAATTATTTGCTATAAAAGAACATGCACCTCCACTTCTTTTAGCCTTTCGGCTTCTGAGGCAAACTTCGAACTCTTTGCACATAACAAAGAACGAACAAATGTGTTTTTAAATAAATAAATAAAATAAATGAACAAACTATGAAGTTACATTAACAAATAATAATAATAACAATAATTGTTTATTATTCATTGGCTCTGTTTGATAAGCAATATTTGATATACTATTCATCAAATTCATTTATATTATTTACCAAGATTTACTTGTATTATCACTTTCACTGTATAATTGTATTTTTATAATTTTTAAATTTTGTAAACATATTTATTATGAAAATTTTTGTGATATTGTATTTTGAATTTTTTTTTAAATATTGTTTTTTGGATCAATAAATTTTTTATTTTATTTGGATCCCTCATTTTGTTCGATTTTGATTATTTTGATCCTTTTTTCCTCTGATTTTTTAATTAAAAATTTCAAGAAAAAAATAGAAAAAATAAATTTATAAAATAAATTTTTAGCTAAGAATCTATTAATTTTGACATTTTTTTCTTACATTATTATAAATTTTAAGAATGTAGATAAGGATAAATAAATGATGTTTTTTAATCAAAAATTTATGAAAATTATAAAAAACAATAAATCAAATATAAAATTTTGATTAAATAATTTTCAAATTGAATGAATTTTTATTTAATTTCAATTTGATATATTTTAATAGACGTACAATATAACACGAGATATCAAACTGAAATAATTTTTTTAAAATAATTTTATATATTTAGTCCAACATGTAGCATTGCATGGATAAAAAAACCAGTTCACTCTGAAATAAATCAATGTTTTCTCAACATTAGTTTCATAGTCCAAATTTCACGTCTAGCAGACAGATATTTGAGCCATATAAATTAGCAGTTTGACAGCAGATTTGCAAATAATGAAAAATGAATATATATTTTTTTGATGTAAAATATATAACAATTAGGTTTCGTATAAGTTAGTGAATGCCTCATACCTGAACTGACCTTTTAGGCAACTGTCTATGGTTTAAAATGTTGAATTTCATTCTCCTCTTCAATAATAAGCAAAGGAATACAGAGACAACAATCAAGATAAAATAAACCTCCAAGTGAACCCTCCAGAAAATTTCAAACCCGCACTTGCTTTCACAGCTACAATCATTAATACTTCGTAGACTCCCCTTGGTTGTAACTTCCGGATCTAGAATGAAGTCCAGATTCATGGCTGCTTCTCCCAGTGAAATACGTGTGGTCTTTGGTTTGTACCCAGGCACAGTGGCCATAACTACAGATGCAGTAGTCCCATTAATATCAGAATTCCAATCAGGAATGGGACATCAATCTTAAACTATTTAATAAATAAAATATATAATATTCCTAGATCATACTGACCAAAAAAGGTCAGCATATAATCCAAAGATATAACTAACAACTAAATCAAAGGTTATACATAACGGAATAGGTGATGAAGGCTACTAGGTCTGAAAAATATTTAAGATTCACAAGATTAATAATTTCATTTACAGTTCATACTTCCACTAAGTTTTTACTTTTGGATGGAACGATGTTCTGGTTGATATTTGGCTCAGCGTTGTTGTATTGCCACACAAGGAACAGATTGGCTTCTAAAGTTACAATATTCATCAAATTTCTAAATGAGCGTTCCGGTTTTGACAACTTTCAGAACTATTTGATTATTTAAAACTTTAAAGAGACTCCATGCTTTGCCAAATTGCTAAAGTTTAATCATGATGCTTGGTACACGTCAACTTATAACATACCTTCGTATCTCTCTCCAGGAGCAAGTAGCCGATGGTAATCAGCAAACCTTCTGCCAGCTTTAACCTGTCAATTGAAGATAAGGAGTTGCTGAGGAATACTTTACAAAGGAAGCATCAAGTCAAAGCACCGAGTTTCAAAGCAATGGGAGAATATTTCCCTAAAGGACTGGTCCACTGGTTTGTTTAGTAGCTATACACAGAAGCTTGAACTGGATATTCCCATCATTGTTATTATGTAATAATCAACCCAAAAGTTCAAAATGAAAGCATGTCAAGGAGCATTTTACATGGTATTGAAACAGTCCTCAAGAGAAATGGGAAATCTAAAAACAAATAATTTTCCCACTAGTTGAGCAGAAATAGACCGAATGATGCTATGGTTTTGAATAGAGACACTACAAAGACTTAGAGAGATTTCTCAATGCATGGCAAAATTAAGTCAATTATTTGTTCTGTGATAGGTATACCTCCACAAACCAATTTCTGAAAGACAAACTCACCGTGCTGGAGGACAGTAGAACAAACTACAATCTCCCTAGTAACAATAGAGAGCAATAAAAAACAAGATTATATAATGATTGTGAATGTACCGTGTAATTTATTCCCTTGATTGTAATAGAGCCAGGGAGAGGCATTCCACTATCTGATGAAAAGATCCTTCCATGTACTCCTGTCTTTAAGCATACAAGTCATTGAGATAATGATTTGATGATTCGTAAATCAGAAATATGTATTGGACACGACTTCTAGAAATCCATAAACCGTGTTCTCCATATGCCTATAAATTATCTAAAATAATATCCTTAAACAACAAGGATGACAATTTGTTCTAATAATATGCATGGGCAATCCACATGGATAGATGGTTGCTTAGAGCTCTGAATTTCAAATCGAATTTTCACATTCAACTTATCCAAGCTAACATTCCATGTGGTATGAAAGTGATGGAAAATAATTTCTAAAAACCTTCATTTGCATGACGGTGTGTGATTTTGCCATGAAAATCATTTATGAGGGTTCGTACTTTAGATGTTACAAAAAGCACAAAAAAACTCATATATGAATACATGAGAGACAAATTTATTGCCATACTACAGCCTACCTTCACAAAGCTGGCTGCAAGGTTTAGTAAACTCATTTTGTTGTACTCCCAAAGTGTAGGAAGCTGTCCAGGTACATGGCAGGACAGATTAAGCAATTGGATGACCGTAAGATGGACGGGAATAAGGAAAGTGGGAGGACGGGGGTGATACTGACAGTTTACACAAATACAGCTTGACAAAAATTCTAACCTCATTGGCATTAGGCCATTTGTTGTCACTAATCTCCAAGGTCAACTCAAAACAACCAGCATGTATATAATTCCAATCTTGCATTCCACCATATATTGGGTACCTGTAGCAAGTTTTGGTTACAATAGTCACTGACCAACAAATAAAGGAAAGAAAGAGAGAGAGAGAGAGAGAGAGAAGCAAAACTTAAATAAGTAAAGATTTGGACACCCTCAAAGAATGTTTGTGCCAGTGCAGTTCTTGCACATAAGGAATAGTTATGAACTTGCCATACCATAATGCTCCATTTGTGATTCCTCCAGGGAATTCCTTGCTCAAAGACATGTTATGGTGAGAATGACTATATATACTTGCCATGAACCGGAATGTTTTGTCATCAGGACAGGCATAGTAATTTCTCCTGAAAATGGTTTCACATAGCAAGATAAAGCTAAGTGCATAAAAGAACAGAAAGGAAATCCTAGGCAGGGCATAGAAAAAATATTGCAAGGCAACTAAATTATGGTGTCTTTGGTGTCAGTGAGAGCCTCTAGGGAGCCAAAATCACCCCCAAAAAATTCAGCTTCGTGAAATCACTTGTGGCATCTTTTATGAAATTATATACTAGCAGAACCTAAACTACACATACACTAAGCCTGAAATATAGCCATAAGAAAACTATTGAAAGGAAAGATTAGTTTAGAAACAAAATCTGGGTAATGATGCCTAAGATGCAAAAATTGTTTTTTAGGTGGAAACCTAAACTATAAATAGGAGGTGTGAATCAGTAAACCATCTACCAGATTAATGATCAATGGCCAAATTGGAAAAATCAATGTCAAGAAACAATACAAAAATAAGTGGAATGGGTTTGACTAAGCATGGTCATTATGAAAATAGTCTAACAATCTCCTAAGGGATAACATGAAAATATGTACAGAGGAGTTAAGGATTAATAATGAAACATGAAGAAAGAGATACTGCTTTCAAGTTACAAATCTGTGCAATAGGCATAATTACCTTTTATCCTCGGTACCATCCCATGGATAATTTGCAACTAGTGCACCCTGGGAACAATAAAAGGCATGACTAAGAAGTATGATTAAGCAAGACAAAATCCACATCCCTGTGTTTATCAACTGGCTTAGTAGCACTCATGAAAGCCCATACAAAAGTTCATTTCTTTAGAATCGGCAGAAATTGGCTGGATGAGTCAACCCAGCAACAAAGGTAAATTGAAAATGTGAAGATGTAAAGGAAGAAAATGTAAATTTTAAATTTAAGGATGAACAGATGTGAATGAATGAAGATCAAGCAAGTTCTCCATTTCTGATCAATAAGAATGCCGCTTGCAATGTTCAAGATCTTGATAGCCACTTTGGGCACACATCGATATAAGAATGAGCAGATGTTTACATACCCATATGATCATCCTTCTTCAAGTGGATTAAAAATTTTGTTTTAATTGAATTACACAATACAATGTACACTGTGATATGTCAAGAATACCAACTAAATGAATGCCTATCACTCTTTTAGCTTAAAGAAAGCAGGGAAATTTTATTTTATTTTTTAAAAAAGAATAGTGTGTACGCATTCACCAAGCTCATAGCATAGTGGAAAAAGGAGATGAAGCATTACCCCATGCAAACTGGCAGATGCTGCAAATTGTATCTCTCTCAGCCAATTCATAACTGCTCTTGTTTCAGGTTGACGTGCATTTATGTCATTACTGAGTGGAAAGAACTGGCACTTCATTTTGGTCAATACTTTTATCATATTACACTCGCAATTAAATCTAGAAAGGAAATGTAATCCACAAATTCAACTAGTGTATCAAATAAGGCAACACGTTGGAACATCTTGTTGTACAATAATGGCAATTTTACTGAATGTGGATAAAACAATTTGGATGCAAAGTCTAGATACATGTAGATAAGATAAGTCACAGAAAAATATTCAAGTTCCAACATATGTATTATATAGGAGTATTATTTCAATTTTAATCTCGACCTGAAAGGTCCAGATTCAATGATTGGACCACTTTTAGCACAAAATAATATCAAAACCACAATTATAAAGTTAATCCCACAGATAAATATTTTAGCAATACTATGAATCTGAAACTGTTTATTATTTTCTTCTTATCCTCTCCTGGTCTGTCTTAAAAGAATAGCAACCCAAACATCGCACTTCAATGATTCAAAGATTCTAGAGTTTTTTTTTTTTTTTTTTCAGTTTGGTTTGCAACCTGTGTCATAGGATAAAAAAATGGAGAGCAGAACTGTAGCATGTTATACATTGTGGTATTCACCCTCCTCGTAGCAGAGTCTAATTAATTGAAAATGTTACATCTGGATTTTCCCAAAAAAAACAAAAAAAAACAAAAGCAGCGACAACAACGAGATACCTGGTCTGGAAAATCTCGATTTAGATCAATATTGTTAGCATTACCACGCCTCCTTAAAAAGTATCCATCAGGATTCATGGATGGAAGAATATGAAGGTGAATATTTTCTACAATCAATCTGGCCTGTAATATAACATAAGACTTGAAAATGAGCCAGGCATTGCTGTGAAACATATTTTTGTGCAGTAGTACAAGTTATTAACTGGTGCACAAAGCAGTCGGGAAATTTCTGTATTAATCAAGCTTATTTCACTAGAAGGATATCGAACAAATAATGAAAGAAAATTTATTTTCCCATTTTTATAACCTTAAAAGTTATACTAGAGATGTTCATATAATGTGACCAGCAATGGTCACAAATGGGCATCACTGTAATTCTTGATTAGCCTTTCTTAATGGCAGTAAATTTGGCATGATTTGGAGAAGAAAAATAGATTACTGCTGGAAGAAGACACATGGAGTCTGTCAAAGATTCAAAACTGTAAAGGAGATACTGAAGACATAGATGGAAATTAAGATGGCTCTGCCACAACAAATACAAATATTTTAAGAAAGAAAAAAAATGGTAAAACTAGATATTGGGAAATTTATGAAAACAATACTAAAAACCAAAGCATCAAGATGCTACTAATAGACGGAAAAACATAAGAACACACAAGTAGTCTGCAGCATAAAGTTAAAAATCCTTAGTTTGAAGGGATGCAATGAAAGGAGAAGAGAAATACCAAGGAGTCCTTCATATAGTTATCGCATATCCAATTAGCCAGACATAACAGAAGCTCACGACCTACAGGTTCATCCCCATGGACATTTCCAATGTACTGAAAAGTTGAAAAGAAAAAAATCAGTTGCCTAGTTCCTTACAGCAAATATTACACGTTGCATACGTGCATATGGCTGTAAACGGGTAAGATCATTCACCTTGAATGCAGGTTCAGGCTCGTCCTCCCCAGGCTTGTCAGAGATCTCAATGACCCACTATAATCCAAAAAAATAAATCAGAAAACAATGTCTTTGTGAGAAACATGAAATGGTACAGATAAAAATAGAAAATAAACAACTAAAATGAGAGAAAAAATTACCAGTGGAACTCCATTGACGCTCTTTCCAATACTGATTTATGCATTCCAAGAATCCATCAATGAGAGAAACAATGTCAGCAAAATCACCTTAAAACCAAAAAAAAAAAAAAAAAACACTACATTCTACAAAACCTCCAAATATATAAATCCTGTCGTCAGTCATGTGCATATCAGAAATCAATAAAAATAGTATCACACCTGTAAATCCTAGAAATATTACTGCATCTTTGACCGAATTCGTTCACAGCCTCCTCAAGATCAGAGTTAGTCATGTATCCTTTAGCTCTATCATCACTGTTCCCACAAATTTTGCCACATTTCAATGTTTTTATTAAGGAAAAGAAAAAACCACGCATATTCAAAAATCATAAAAAAATCCGATTAAAAATAAGCTTAAGAAAAACAGAGATAGTGAAGTACCTTAACTTAGACTGTTTATCCTGAAATAACCTTCTCCTAACAGAACCCGAATAACTAATTCTACTACCATTTATAAAACCTGCAAAATAAATACATACATAAATAAAACAATACAATTATTTTGCGGATCATCACTAAAACCTAAATCAAAATCGAAACAACAAACATAAATCGTGGTACAGATATTTTGTTTAGAGAGAAGGAGAGGGAGAGAAATGACCTGAAGGAAGAGAAGAATGGAGAGGGCCTCGAGCGATGGAAGAGGAGAAAGAGAGAAAGAAAAAGACGACAGGTAAGAAGAAGAAGAGTTTCATTTCTGCAAACAAAATGCCAGTTTGACGCAACCAACTGATGTGTTGCAGTCTGCTGGACTTTAGTTTCTTCTAGTTATATTAGAGGCTTGGTATTTAATATTTCCATTATTTATGCTTTTTATTGGAAAATTTTATACATGTCATTACCTATTCTTATTCCTTATTTATTATAAAATTTTCTCGCTTTTTATATACTTACTTATGACTGCGAATTTAATCGATTTCTCGTTTTTAAGGTTTTGAACGTCGAATGAGGAAGGAAGGGAAGGTGTGATTTGCGCGTGGGATGCGCACTTCACGTGACTCTGGGAGGGAGCTGGGAACGACTCTAGGTGGCTCTGGGCCTCAATAAAATGGGCCCTCAAAATATTTTCCAGGCCTAGGATTTCTTGATGATTTCCGTAAGAAGGACAAAACTTTTTTATTTTTATAATAAATAGGATTTAACTTAGACAAATGAAGATTTTCTCATGCTAAAATTTAATTGCTGCTAATTAATGGTGATCACAGTCTGTGCCTTGTAATCTCAATTAAACGGTTCCGTATGTTCAATAAATAGTTGATGCCAATACAATTAAAAGATTTACAAGTTTATTAATGACGAGTTTGGATTTTAATTTTTTTTAATTAAGTAGTATTGGAATTTTTATTATAAGCATTACCAAAAAAAAAATATTGGGGAATAACGTTATATGATCATGCTACTACAGTGTCAAAGAGGTCTACACTAGTTATGACATTCCAATTCAGCATTATTGAGTTGGATGAAAGCTCACCAACTACACAACAATATGAAAAAAAAATCTATATTTATAGAAAAGCATGGGATGCTTATCACAGTAAAAAATATATATATTATTGTTATTTTTATTAAAATTTTAGATAATCACTTTATTGATTTAGTTATTTTTATCTTATATATGTGTTTAATTAGTTAGGTTTTATAATTTAGAAACGGTGAATTGTATATCCTAGACTAAAGTATAATTTTTGGATAAGATAAACCAAACAATGATTAACTTTCTTAATTCAAAAACAAATCACAATTAGAAATTTAGAATCCATTTGAAACAACTTATGAATGGTTACTTTTAATTTTGAGTAATTGTTCAAAAATTAATTTTCAAAAAATTATATGTAAAATAATTTAATTTAGTACTACATTAATTTGACACCAGTAAAAAGACTTTGAGATAAATGTTTGGGGGAAAAATAGCATTGTTTATATGAGCTAGAATAAAAAGTTAAGAACTAATTTTTTTATTATTATTACAATTGTCTCTCGAGTCTAAAGTTTTTTTTAAAAAAAAAAAAAAAAAAAACTCAAATCCAACAAAAAGACTAAACTTTTTTGTAATAAATTTCATTGTGTGGGAGAACTACAATTAATTCTGTGTTTCTGTTAGTTGTTTGTGAAATCAGAGTACAATTCTGCGTTAGAAGCCGTAGATTATAAATTGTCGGTTGACATGTTCAGGATGCAAATATGAGGATGATGAGCAACGACTGGTAGCTAGTGACAGGAGCAGAGCTTTTTCCACATCTTTGGCTACATGACTTCGGACCAAAGAAATCGCATACTCCATAAAGCTTGCATCACGTGGCAATGATAGAGGGCCATTACTTTGCAGTCCAAATTCTTCTTCTGCCAATTTGAATAGCTGCCCAACTATGTTGTTTTTCAGATATGCTAAAGGAAGCACAAACCTTCTCCCATCAGCACTATACACGATAAAGTGACCTTTCTCAGCCTTGGATGGTCTGCTGCTGCACGCTGCCGCATCTCCATGACCAAAATTTATTGGAAATGAGATTCTTTTTCTCCTTATGGCTGCCAGTTTTTGCCGTTTCCTTGTAATTTTGATAAGCTTCTTGAGAGTGATCATGTTGTCGTCTTGTGTGCCAGAGATGAAATATTTGAGATAGTGACCGTGGCTGTTTACTATCGATGACAATGAAGTGCAAATTGTTCTGGGATAAGAGCAAATAGAGAAGGGGGAGGCTATATATATGTATATATATTCGCTAAGGCAGAGACAGTGCATTTAATGTGGCTTTCGTTTTGCAGGAAGGCATGGGAAGCAAAGCCATGTGATGGAAGGATAAGATGGTTTGGTAGCTGGCATGCATATGCTATATTAAAAGTTTATGATTTGTTAAGCCAGCCTTCTTTTTCTTTGCCCGATTTGGTGAGCAAAGTATGGGTCCAGGACTCCAAGCATATGTTGGTGGCTAATTTTATGTCACAGCGCATTTTGTATCTAACCAAAATCGCTTGATTTGATAAATTGGGATCCTTAACGTTCAGAACTAATTAATAAGTTCCCTTTCCCATCAAAGAAAAAAAAACATTCAAAATTTTAAGTAAATCCTTTAAATTTTATCCCTTGAATATATCTGTACAGTTGTGCAAATCAATTAAATGATCAAAATATAATCTGTTTCAGAAGCTGCAGATAACTAAAGTGTTGGTTTCCAATTGCATGGTGAGAGTACAATGATGAGCAGTGACTGCTAGCCATGGACATGACCAATGCTTTCTCTACGTCCTTAGTTACACGTCCCCCAATCACGTCAATTATATACTTCATAAGACTGCATCACAGGGCGACATCAGAGGCCTATTGCCTGGAATCCAAACCGCTCTTCTGCTAACTTGAATAGTTCTCTGACAATTTCGTTGTTAAGACATTCCAATGGAAGTGCAAAGTGTATCATTACTGTAAACAGCAAAGTGACCCTTCTTAATGGTGGATGTGCTACAACCATCTGCATCAGCAACCTTCCCAAGAGCTGTTGGCATTGTGATTCTTTTTCGGCTAAGAGGAGCAAGCTTCTGCCATTTCCTTACCAGTTTGATAAGCTTCTTTGCGCTGATTATGTCGTTATTATGTAAATGAAACGGGAAAGTTCTTAGGATAGAATAAAGTGAGCCTTTTATATCTCACAAATGCTAAATGCTACCACTTTTATGCTATGAAGGAGGAGGCAGTGGAAGTGGATTGTTTATATATTCACAAAGCTAGAGGCCGCCGTCCCTTTAATGCAGCCTCCTGATGCCAGAATACATTGGAAACAATGCCATGTGATTTGTGGATTCGTGGATGAAAGGGACTTTCAGCAAGGTATCCGTGTTTGCTTTTGTTTGGCAATCAGCGCATGAAGGTGGAGCACAGATATGTGTTCTGCCAGCTGACTCAACAATACAGGTCCAAAAGTTCGGCATCTCAGGATCGCAACTCGAAACAAACTTCAATATATATATATATATACATACACACACAAACACACGCGAGTTGAAAGGTTATTATACCTGATATGTCTAAGACCCTGACAAGAAGTGGGGAAACTGTGGCCCAAAAGTTCATGATTGGATGAGATTCTATGACCTACGAAATAACAAACACTTCATCTAAAAAATTACGACAGAATACTGCATTTGGCGACTGATAGAAGAGCACGAATAAATAGCCGCCAAGGACCGGGCAGCAGTATATATTTAAATGTATATTCTGAAGATCACACATGTGCATCTGAAGAATTGCCACAATGCTTAACAAAGAAGCATGTATAACAATCTACGAATCACCAAGAATATTACTTGTTGTTATTATTATTATGGTACTAATTTCTCCCACATGAGACATAAAAAATACATCGATAATTGACCCAAAAAAACAATCACTCTTCCAGATGAGTACTTCCAGAGTTCAATATACACATTCAGTACTAACACGGAATTGCAGGATTGTTGGTTCTTCATATGGAAGAGAATATGATAAGGCACAGCATGTGGCAATTGACATAAGCAAAGGTTCCTCCAGATTTTTATCCACACCTCGTTGGATTAACATGATTATGTACTCCATGAAGAATGCTTCACATGGTAATGTGATTGGTCCATCGCCTGGCAGCCCAAACTCATCTTTAGATAATTCTAACAGCGCTCTGAGAATCCCACTGTTAAGATACACTAATGGAATTACGAAGCGATTTTGATCAATTGTGTAGACGACGAAATGACCCTTATCGGCAAGCACAGATGTCCTTACATCATTCCAGGTTGATCTTGTTAGTGAATTACTCTTCCTGTTGATAGAAGCTAACTTCTGCAACTTCTTTCCCAACTTGGTGAGGATGCTGGAACTATTCATGCCGGAATACCTAAAGACAGAACTCAGAAGACTTGAGGAATGTATAGGAAAGTACTGAAGCTGTGAGTTTTATTGCCGAGTGGAATATACAAACCGAAGTAGTAATTCTTATTTATACAGGATAACAAGGATTGTAGTTAGTATTATTGTTTATTGCTTTTTAGAACGAATCACTTATCATATGATCCCTTTTTTTGTTTCGTTTTGACTTGGAAATTTGTCGGATAACATGTCTAGTAGAATGTTGACCTGGTATGTTTCGGAGAAACTTGCCTTGATTTCACCCAAGGAACGTGTTTTCGCAAAGGGTGACAGCTGAGTCACGAGTTCTGGAAAGAAATTTCCAAATAGAGCACAGGACGAAGAAGTACGACACTCTACCTTATTTTAATTAAAATAAAATATACGTGGAAAAATAATATGGGAGAATATTTTTCTGTTCCAAAAGTTGAATTCGGAAGATTATATTTTGTCTTCCAATACTAGCTTCCACCTTGTCACTGTTTTGTCATGTTTCAACTTCAATTTCAAAACAAAGCTGTTATTCCGTAATAAACTCAAATGTTGACTGATTATTTTATTTTTATTTTTTTTCATTAGGAGACTGTGGTTATATAATGGAATAGTATTTTTTTATTATATAACAATTAAATAGATTGAAATCATTAAGATTTTAACATTTAACTACAAAAAATTATTGAATAAATAAACATTGGACTATAATTATTTATATTGACATGACACGTTGAGAATTTGAGATTGAAAAGGGTGGTGCAGAAATTCAACACGAATACTTGGTGGAAATGGAATAGACAAGGCACTACTTTAGAGTTTATCCATGACCTCTTCTTACTCTTTTTAAGCTCATCAGCTAGCTTCTATCATTGGGCAGATTCACCTAAAACAAGGCAATAATGAACTACAAAACTGTTTCTTATGAAAGAAGCAGATTTTTCTAAAATTAGGGAGTGAATTATTTAGCCAATAATTTTTTTTTAAAAAAAAAGTGATTTCTGTGGCATCAAACTGACCCCTCCATTGAGAATCTATGAAGTTGAGATTTCAGATGGTAATTGGGCTACTAGGTCCACCTCCTTAATCCAAATCCAAATAAGGGCAGACTGTAGGTACAAGGTAAGGGAAGCATAAAAGCCCAATAGAAAAACCCTCAACAAACCATTGACGCTCAACACCAATTCTATCTACTTATAGCCCACTGCAAATAAATCCGTAAACTTGACCCATCAGGCAGTCCTGATTAACTGATGAATTATTATCTTTATTATTATTTTATAATACTGGATGAGTTTGAAGTTAATGGAAATCATAGTCAGACAGTAGTCCCGCCGTCCAATCTTGTCAAAATGATAGATCATTAGCTTAAGACAAGATCCTAGTCCATGGACCCACCTAAAAGGAACCCACGATGAGAAAGCATCAACACGTGTACTGTTAGGAAACGAACACCATGTCACCAACAGAGAAATTGAGGCGTTAAGGAGCTTATCATTCTATCATATGCTTGATTGCCTCGGTGAGTGAATATAAAACTGCCATAATTCGGTGCCGACGGACCCCACTTTGTTTCTTTTTATATGTTATATTGTGAGTGCGTGACCGACTTTCATCTGATAATGTAAACTTTATGCCATGGTTTTTGTCATTCTGGATTGTTCTATTATAGAGTCATTTTCTTAAAGTGACCAGGTGTTTAAATTAAACAAATTCCCCCTTCTCGTGGTGTTATGACATGTTATGCTCTCGGGGAAAGTACCTTCGAAAAGGAAGATTCTCGAAGGAAAAAAAATTCTTGGTTCTTCGTTTATTAGTTTATGTAGGAAATTTTTAACCCTATTTTTAAATCATATCACAGATGGATGTCGCTTTGGACACTCTTTGGGTAAAAACCCTTTCATAATGATCAAAAGAAATAAACAATATTGGTAAGTTTATTTTCTGGATCGTTTTGTGTAGCTTCCTGGACATTGGATTACAAAATCTAATGCAAGTGATTGTACCTTAGCTGCAGCAAGTTTCGAAGTTGCAACTTCGTTGATTGGGCATGCCATTAAGAGTACCGCTGATGGATGTGGGAATGGCATCCCTACCCTAAGCATCCGATGCAAGTTACCACGACTCCTAGCCTTTAAAAATGGAGATAACAATTACCCTTTAATTGCTAAGAGTACTTGGTAGTTGATCGTAGTGATTTGCAAGTGAGGAGTTCGCGTTAGCATTTCCGTTGACATTTTTTTTTTTAATAGGAAGACATAGTTCTCTAAATTCTTGATATACATTTTAAGAGTTATAATCCCACATTTTTTTTAAAATTAGGGCTAATATAATTCATATAGCCATTGGAAAAATACGAGATTTCGAACAAAAGAAAGTAAACTTGAAAAATAAGCCAATCAAATGTATGATTTGCTTCCGTTGAAGTATGAGACATACGAATTATTCGTTGTCTTTGAATCATTTTACATATGATGTGAACAACATATCTATATACATCTCGGTTATCGTTATGAAAATGTAATAACTAAACTGGCACCATATATAGAGTTTGCTTCCAAAAGAATTTGGCTATATATACCTCGAATACATTTTTTTTCTTTTGTTGTTTTCATTTTAAAACATGATTTTTTATTTTTTTCTAGAAAATACAAGTTGTAGTTTTTCTTTTCTTTTAATTGAGATTTTATGATTCAATTCTCCACATCAATTTTTCTTTTCAAACATTTCCTTACGGTTATTATTTCTTCTTCTTTTTCTTTTTTTTCATGAGAGATTCAATATGCTTTTACCATACAAAGATATAGTTTATCCCTCGATTATTCATACACTTCTTTAAGAATTTATTTTATTTTTTGTTCTTTATTAAAAGATTCGACATTTTGAGGTGCATATAACGGGTTAGCTCTTGTTATAACTTAAAAAAGTATAATTTTGAAATTCGAACCTTACACAATCATTAGGCTAAGCATTATATTTTTGAAGATTTAATCACGAGATTTTCAAATGAAAATCTCAAAAGCTGATACATCTATGTTGAAATAGATGTTTATAGAATTTCTTGTTAAATAAGATATATTGATTGTTATAAAATAAAATAAAACTATAATTGAAATCTCGTATGATAACTTCAAATTTTGAGTCAATAAAACAAAAAATTAATTGTAATTAAAGTTTTTCTTATTTAGAAAAAAACATGACAGTTTTAACACCTTCTTGATTTTGAAATGTACATCTCCTCTAAATAGTTATCTATTTTTTAATCTTTACAAAATTTGCTAATAATTTCTTAGATCGAAGTGATTTAGTCTATATGTAATAAAGTTCTAGCCACCGCACAAAATAGTTTTCTCACTAGCTATATGATTTAAGAAATTCAACCATTGAATATACCAATAAGAATATATTCAATGCACAAGCTTTTCAAGAAGTGAAAGCAATTTTTTTTCTATAATAAAATTAGCATCATGATTCTGTAAATGATAGTTTTGTTTTACTCGACATTAAGAAGTATTTTTAAGGTAGTTTGCGTGTTATAGAGATTAAATATTTTTCACATTATTTAAAATAATTAATTTAATATTTTTTTAAATACTGATATTAATGTTAAAATCTATAAAATTAAGAAATTGAATATATCTTTTTAACCATCAATCTTTTGAAATTATTATTCTGTAAATGATGATATTTCTTATTTGGTCTTCCAAACTCAACGCGCGTATCAAACAGGAGTTGGTTCGATAAGACTTCCCTAATCCATATCTTTCTTTCTAACATACGTCTCATATATCTCGATTCTTGGTTTATTTTTTGTTCCCACACCCCCAACCCCCCCCCCCCCACACACCAAAACCAAAAAACCAAAAAAAAAAAAAAAAAAAAAAGCGAAAATTCATAACAATCTTTTTAACCTAAAAAGGAAAATTGGTCATCATAGGAAAAACCAAGCAGGTTCTGCACGTTTCGGAGGTCAAAGGAGACCATTAGCCAACTCCTTACCCAGCAAATCAAAGCGCAGCACGTACGTCAGACATGTCGCGGAACAAACTCACATTCCATTCTGCCACACGCATACATACATGCACTTTTTCATCATCATCATCATGATGCATTAGAAAAAACACGAGAGGTGGGTCCCACGAACATCATGTGGGCAAGTGGTGCAGACCCGAGGTTTTGAAAGAAAAAAAAACAAGATATATTCCTAGCACGGTATTGGGCCACTTGTTGTTAGGCCGAGATCTAAAAACTCATATATATCTCTTGTTGTTCCCTGATTGGATACACGTCACCTAATAATTTTATTTTCATTTGATTTTTATTGGCTTCTTTGGTTTGCGGTTTAAAAGGAAAAATATCTAAGGAGGGTGCTGAGTGTTTTAGCCACCCACGAGATATTTATGGACATGACCGCGTTTTCTACCCGTGAATTCCAAGCCACTGAAGTCATTTGCGTGTCTTGCAGATAATGGTGCGATTCTTTTTCGGGCAATACTGGATGACCGGTGCCTTTATGGTTTATGGCTGAACTGTTCCCTAGATAGGAATTTTTTCTGTGCTAGATGCCAATAATGAAGCTGTTAAAATTCGGAAATTGAAGAGACGGGTCGCCAAAAATTTGGCACTGTCAATATTACAATATATTGCTATTAAATTTCCTGTAAATTTCAAGGATAATGATTGAGTCTATCTATATAAAATAAAATAAATGTTTAATTTATTTTTATATTCTAAAATGAATTAATTATATTTTTTATTAAACAAGTTTATAATAAGTTTTTTTTGGTGAATTTTTTGGACCAATCCATATAAAAAAGTCCAGCGACTTATACATGATTGTTTTTTTTTTTTTCCAAAAAACACCTGCCAGCTAAACATGTGCAAGTCAAGTTTTATTTTCTTTTAGATACATTTTCGATAAAATAAAATAAAAACGTATAAATCGCATAATTTCTTTTAATAATTTGACCCAAAAAATATAGTTGAAACTCATTTAAAATAAAAAGATATAATTGATGCATTTTAACATATAAAAACAAACTGAACATTAATTCCGTAATTTACGAATAAACTAGGTCCATTTTCTCAAATTTTAAAGGCCAAAATTTCTGTTTCGCTTATGGTAAATACCATTTTAATACGTTTAGATACCGATCGATCATAACAAATGAGTAAGAAAAAGGAACAAATGTAATTCTTCCCACTGTTATAAATAAAAGTATAAAACCATTTAAGTGTGTATGTTTCTTCTCCTAACCATTTGGAGCCCGCTTTAATTTGACAGAGAATAGTAAAACATCCAAGAGCATTTTGATTTTAGAAACACAAGCTATGCTTATTGAACAGCATCTATTCCTAACCCCATGTCTTTATTCTTTCAAAAAACTTGAATCTAGTTTAGTTCTAAAGTGTCAATCTTATTTAATTTTAAGCGTCAATCCATGAATAATGTTAATTTTTTATATTGATATTAATGTACAAGAAGATTAAGTGATTTTTTTAGAATTTGGAGTGCTTGCAGAGTACGACCGCGTGTTTCTCCCACTTCAAGTCGTCAGCATCAGCAATTCCTTTTCTTGCTTTCCCAGTCAGTGGAGATAAGTCAATTTATATTCATAATCTATTATTAACTGGAAGTGGTTACGTACTGCTCTTTTATTCATTTTTATTATCTTCGCCACTTCTTGAAAGTCAACTAATAACACTCACCATTTCGGGCTGCCATATTGGTTGAATTATTAGAATTACTTCCCTTGTTTTCCTAATCTGGATGCATTGTAAGTCACATCTATGATGACCTCTTATGTGCTCTCTCCCTCGGAAACCACCATCCAAAGTCATTCAATTAATTAGAGCCTTAAATCACAATAGTCTCCCACTTTCAACGCACCCTTGAAAAGAGATGTCCTTGATTCGTCACCCAACACGATGTCAAGGAAAATGTTTACGTGTTAGTGTTTTTTTAGTTGCGAAGGAACTATCCAAACCAGAATTTTTAAAAAAGAAAAAACTCAAGTGTTATTTAGTTGAATAATAGTAGTAATTATCTATAAAAACAAAACTAGCCATAAAATTAAATAAATGAGGATTAAGTGTTATTTAGGTAAAAAAATTGTTATATGTTTGGGATCAAGAGATTTATAAAAAAAAAATTATATTTTCGTACCAAAACGTTAACTTTAGTGGTTAGAAAAGGAACATACAATACGATGTAAAGGCTTGATTACATCCTATGAACTGGAATGAGAACGGAAACCAATTGAGTGATTATAAATGACATATACGAATAAGCATACAGGGTGAACCTTTAAGCTTGGTACGAAAATGCAGAGTCAACTTTATTTTTTATTTTTAATTACATTACAAAGCCAGTTTTTTTATTATATTTTTATAACATCATTTTTACTGGGAAATCAGCAATATATATTTTTTTTAAAAAAAAAACTAACATGTTTGATATGAAATTATTTAAAATTTTCAATAATACAGTAACAATACAACGATTTTGTAGTTTTCTTTTACAGTATAAAGTTATCTTACGCGTATTAAAACTTAACTCACGATTTTAATTTAATCAAAACTGGCTAACTATCCTAAAATTGAAAGATTTGGGAAGAATTATACGAAACCTACACACATATGTATAATGGAAAAACTAAAAATAAAATAAAATTTGGAATTCATATATATGGATCTACTGAATTGCATACCGCACGCATACCTGCATACCATTTGATTAGTTCAATTTTCATCACGTGCTACGATGGAGTATGTGATCCAACCAAATCCACGTAGACACGTGGGAAGATGGCAACAAACAGCGCAAGACTCAACCATAAATATCTAGCACAGTTCCACTTCTGCACCTTTTATTTGGTTAAAAGCTTCTTCTCGTCATTTTACTTTCCATTTTGTACTAATTTTTTCCTTCTACTTTTATTTGTCTCAATGTCAGTCCTTTATTTTCAAAATCATACTTGTTTAATCCTTATTTGATCGAAAGTTAAGATTGTCCTTCAATCATCATGTGACCTACATCATATATTGACATGTGTCCAAACCTATTTTTATTTGCTTTTTTTTTTTTTTTAATCTCTTCTTCTTTGTTCTCTTTGCTTTCTTATCACTAAATCACCGTCCTTGTCACCATCTTTAACCGCAAACTAACCACCACCAAAGCACAA